TGCTTCCTGCTAGAGTTGATCTAGCTTCTAGGCGGACGACAGACTAAATTGATCTACAAGAAGATCAGAGAACCCGGGGTTGCTAGCCCGACGAGGTCGCTCCAATGCTTAAGTCAGTATACTTGTTGCGAGCTGAAATAGCTTAAGAATGCAGAGAGCTAGAGAGCATAGAAATCACGCATACCTTGAACCTCTAGGGGTGGAGCCTTTATATAGTCAAGTCCTCACAGGTTTCGCGGATCAATTCCGGGATTTTCGTCATGATAGGACTCGTTTCCGCGTTAGTCGGAAGATAATGCTGCCAACCGATAAGGTTCCTCACTTCCGCTCGAATCGGTCGGAGAGATAATGCTAGCTGTTATGCGGCGTGATCCCATGAGGCCCGGGATCTGTTGGAGGGGTTTTCGGGATCACCACATAGTGACATGTCAGTATCCCCGAGATAATGTCTTGAAGTCCCGAACTGGGTTGAGTGCCAAAGTGCCTTGGCATCGAGGTATTCTTGTTGCGATCTGGTACCAAGGCGATATTGTCTCAAGGTGGCCTTGTCCCGAGGTCACTTTAGCCTGGGATGGTTGGGTACCCAAGCTTGATCTGCTGCGAAATGGTCATGATAAGCTGAGTTGTCATCTCTTGATCAAGTCGTGTCTACGTGTCCCCTCTTTATTAGGTTGGACCAAATCACCCTTCATCATTTCCATTTCTAAATCGTTATTTTTAAAACCATGCTTCTAACCAGGAGAAAAGGAGGGGTTTGCTTCCCTAAGAATGAATAATCCTGAGTAAGTGAGTAGTCGGGAGTCCTGACCTCACGGAATGGACTTTCAGTAAAAARTTGAAACTATAACCATCATCCTTTCCCTCTTTGAATCAGGTTATCCTCCACAGTTCTACTCGTAATCTACACCATGTCAAGCCCATATACGTGCACGTGAGCTCTTACACTACATCAGGCTGACGTGGTGAGTCATGATTGGACTAGTATCTTCTGGTTTCCGTGGGGGATTTCAACTGATTAATTTTTTGTAATGGATAGTCTCCTTCACAAAGACCAATATCCAATTGTTTGTTGCTACCTTTTTCAAACAATCGATCCTTTCTTTGGCGGGTGGTGAAGGAAATAGACTCAAAATTTGGGCTGCTGCTTCATTCTCTGATGAAAACCATGAGTCCAATCACCGATTGTGAAACGAATTAAAATACACACACCCCAACCAAAAAGTCTGCATAGCAAATTGCATCCCATCTGAATATTTATTTTTTTCACTGTCACCTAACCACTTATGCCATCAGATTGGTTTATTATTCCTTTGTTTTTGTTTTAGAAATTAGATGGATTTAAGGGCAGTGTTTGGCATCGTGCCGTTGTCTTAGAAAACGGTTCCATGTTGGTGCCATATCAGAAAAAACGTAAGAAAATGACCACACCTTGAACCTGAAATTTGGTAAGGCATGGTATGAGAAAACATTAAATCTGGCATTTTTTTGTTTTTGCAATCATTGCTGCCAACGGTACTATGCCATGACCCATAACACAAATATGGCATCATACGAAGCATTGGATGTGGAATTGTGGACCACTGACAAAAACAATTATAGAACACTAGTACCAAATAAAACCAGAGCCATTTTCTTAGAAAGAAATACAATCTATCCTCATCCAAACAACACAGTTTTCTCAAAAACGACTCTTAAGGCAAGGGCATTGATGCCAATCACCAGCTTATATTTGAAGGTGGGGTTGACACAACAATTGGGTGACCTAAGTGATGATGATGAAGATTCAAATCTTGAAAACAATATCTCTGTATGTATAGAAGTAAGGGAGAATGACTGATCAGCCCAAGGTTAGAATTTGTAGGTTCAAAATACTGTCGGGGTAGGTGGTAGCTTGAAATTGATGCCTATTTACGGGCGAGCATTGATGCATAAAATGTGAATTATGATCCTTTTGAATGTTTATTACTCTGCAGCGTAAATCAGAAATCTGCATTGGACAAATTCGTACTTCTTGGTAGAAGTAAGGGCTGCATAGTGCATACATCTGTCGCTCCAAGGTGATTGGCATATTTTATGAGAAAATGATTAATTGGACTCGTTTGCAAGGTGATGCCTTTCCAATTCTTATTTGTTTTTTTCTTTATTATTTTTTTAACTTAACCCCCCCTCCCCCCTCTCTCAATCAATCAATGGTCATACACCTGAGAGATTAAGGCCTTATTTGCTTCATGATCATAATTAAACCTATTTCAATTTTCTAATTATGTGCTGACTTTGGGTAAGAAATTATCGGAATTCTTGTCACTTGCTACAAAGTTCAGCAAAAATACATATAATAATATGAATTTGGCTAAAAACATCTAATTGTGATTTTTTTTTCAATATTTGGTTGAGTAATAGGCTTTTAGGTCTTGAGTATTTATTAATATGAATTTGAATCCTCTACAGTTGAACCCATATTTATCTTCATTTCTGGTCCACGGTAGGCCAACCGCCACACTATCCACCTCAATGTTTTGAACCATTTATGTTGATTTTAATTATGTGGTTTGTATCTAGATTAATAATGAGTTGGAAAGGGTAAATTTCTTAAACTGTATATGCGATACAATTATTTTCTTTTTTAAAATTAAAAAAAAAATCTGTATAAAAAAATATTAACTATATATGATAAATAGTATTTGGATTTAACTTTTATCACTTATAGAGAATTCAAGACAAGTATTAATTTTATATTGTGTAGATATTGTAAAAAAAATGGCGAAGTTCCAAGTTATTATTATTATAGGATGTGAAGTCTAATCGGGTCAAACCCAATATCCCAATTTATAACGGGGTATGTTCTATATTTATTCTATTCCGATTACTAATCGATTTTGGAACTGGTCCACCCTGTCCAGCAGGGGCAGACCCGACCCATTGACAGCTGTATGGGTCAAAACCAGAATGGCTTTGGCTCTTAATGGGTGGCAATGGGGTACCCACTAGACCTATTCATGGGCCGGGTGGCCTGACGGGCCAGCCTGGCCCGGCCCAGCCCGGATGGGCTTGAACAGGTATATGGGCCCACGGGCTTAACCTCGGGCCAAAAAGCCCGACCCGTAATAAATTCGAGCCGGGCTCGAGATTTGCCAAAATAGCCCGGCCCGACCTATAATTAAACCTAAAAATCCTAGTCGAATACCCCTCTTTTTTTCACCTCTTTCCCTTATTTTTTCAGCCGAACCCTTCTTCTCCACATCCTTCTTCCCTTCTTTATATTCTTTTCTTAATATAAATAAATTTTGAATTTATATTCTTTTTTTAATGTAAATAAATTCTAATTTATATTGATTATTGAATAGGAAAAAATTTTAATTTTTTTATTAGGTTGGGTCGGGCTCGGGCTCGGGCCTAACATATTTCCTTTAATGAAGAGTAAAAACCCGGCCTAGTCTGGCCCATAAACAGGTCTGATACCCACTATTTCATTGTACCCGATGGATATGGACTCATTTTGGTATATGGATCCGGGTTTGGAAGACAAAAATAAGATCGAATGGGTCCAACAATTAGGTACTTTCCGAGCATCCATTACATAAATGCATCTTAATTATCAGGTTTTGAATTAAGTTCACGTAGAGAAAATAGCAAAAGATGTAAGCAATCTCTTTTGATGTTAATTCAGAGACTTGATCAATTAAATCTGAAGTGTTTATAGGCAATTTAGGCGCGGGTCTAAAACCAACTGTGTCAACCCGGATCTGTAATTTATACTTTTCTTGAAGGGGTGATAGATTGGATCTGATGCAGATCCAGAAATTTAGAGTCCAGGGATTAGGTTTAGCCATTGAGTAGGGATCACCTGCCAACAAAAAATCTCAATCAACACCACGTGGAACAGCATCCGTGTCTGAACATCACATGCATGATGGGTCTGAATTGGGGTCACTTACCAATAAAATACGTTCCAACACTCTACCAACAAGATCTGGTATCCAAGGGTGCAATTTGGGTGGACCTATCCTAAAATTTTATACAGGCTGAATTTGGATTTTCGGTACTTGGATTGAGTACAGACCTAAGAAATTGATTTTTTTTTTTATTTTTTTTTTTATTTTTGAGCCAAGCCCGGGGCCTAATGCTTAGGTAGCCCAAACCTGATTCACTATACAAATTCATATATATATATATATATTGGGAATATTGAACTTGACCTTGGACTTAGTTCAGACTTAGACCTTAAACCCAGATGGGCCTGTCTGATGGGAGTTTGGATTTGATGGGTCCCAACGAACCACACATCAAAAAATCTCCATTATCAAGATGTTTTCCATGTATGGCGAGCTGGGATGGGCTCCCCACAGTGCATCCCCTCAGTGATTTGGGAATATCTCTCTATGACAAGCATGAGAAGTGTTTCCAATGCACGTAGATGGACTGTGAGTCATTTTTCATGGAGAGTCTAAAGAGTTTAAATCAACTCCCCACAAGRTTATCTCCCACAATCTCATAATATATCCCTGCCGTGTATTAAGAATATCTCTCGATTATAATACCGAGAATAATGATGTTATCATCCGAAGATGTTCTCAATCCTCGGCAGATATGATCTGTGGAACGTTGTGAGGGGCCGTCATGTGGGGGGCTGATTCGGTCTCGAGCYCACTAGCCCATCTGAATTCATCTATACCTGATTAGCTGTAATGACTTGTTGAGATTAGATTCAGACTTGCGGTAGATCCCATATATACGATTTCGGATCTCCTACGCACAACAATTCTACCCTCGTTTACTCGCAATACACCACCGAGATTAGAAACGTCTCTCCGTTCCATAGATGATAGAACATAATAACATATAAGAGAACGAGATGTTATTCTGAGGCGATGTTACATGGGTGGGTAGGAAATCCGGACTCTAACACATTCCGGATCCGTTAGCCACACACTGTTCTCATATCTCTACCCACAGAAAAAAGTAATAAAAAGTGAAACAATCTCAGAGGGGTCCAAGAGGGGCGGTGGTTTTCTTGTCTGGCCCGATTCAGAATCTCTACTTGTATTCCCGAGGGGCGTGCAGACCACAGATTGATTCGTCCAGATACTTAACAAATCGAATCCACAAAACCAATTTGATTTTCGAGTGTTTCTTGCTGCAACCCAAACCTGTTGCCTTGAAGCTTGGAATAATTCTGGTTTTGGAGGATTGAGGATGGATAAATGATACTGCTTTCACCTTCTACGAAAAGAAGAGAGGTTTCGGTTCCGAAATTCATTTTCTGAACTGGGTTTCTCTCAGGCATGGCGGAGCTTTGTCTAAAGGCATATTTTACCTACTCTTCTGGACTGTTTCGCCAGGAACAGGGTTTGTACCGGGTGGTTAAGGTCACTATCTCTATCGAATCTGTGTTGATCAATTTTGTAGTTCATATATCTGTTTCTTGGATTATTGAGCTACTGGACTGTTGATGCTTGTAATTTATTTTCTGGTATATTCTGTGTTCTCCTTATTCAAGGCTGATGATCTTTTGTATTTTTTTACTTAGCAAAGTCTTATTATCACTGTAATTTTCTCTACATATTTTTAAATCAACTCTGTTATTACGATTCATGTTATTTGACAAAAGATAACAAAAAAGGATTCTTAGCTTCAGATTTTTTTAACTGTTTTTTTTTTTTTTTTGCTTTTGAGCTATATATGTTTTTCATATTTCACTTTCTAGTTTTGTGAATCAAAACCCCCACTCTCTCTCTCTCTCTCATATCTGGGTTATGGTTTTCAAGCGTTTTTGATTTGGTTATTCAGTTGTACGTTTCTGTTTGCTCTACTGGGTGGTGTTTATGAACTGAATGGTCTGTAAACCTCTCAAAATATTCTCTTATCCTTACCCCCTCCATTTGCTAGTTATAGGCTTTAGTTGATGTTTGGATGATGCAGGAGTTCCAGCCTTTTGTACAAAGTTCTGGAGCAAGACAATTATACCTACACACAAAGCCAATTCAGATTGAGGACCCGTGGAAACCAACAAGCTGGTTTTTGCACCCTAACCAGTCTGCCAAGCTTGATTCAAGCATCAGGAGGCCTGTGCTTGTTGACTTGCAAGGTTCATATTTAATTATTCATTGTTAAGCGTTGGAAAAATGCTAGCCTTACATAGAACTTATAAATTAATATTTTAAAAAATCTGCTTGTGTATTGGGCTTGTTTCAGGTTGTGTTATCATTTTACAGATGAAAAATTATTGCATTATCATTAGAAATGATCTGGTAATCATATTTAACCCTCTTTTTGTCAGCAGATGTTCACCCTGACACGGTACTCTTCAGCTTTGGGATCGCTGAACAATGCACAAGGCATGAAAAGATATTGCAGTTCCTCAAAATGGGATCTAGTGAAGTGTTAAGAGATGGACTATGTCTTTCCCTATTGTCTGACTTGATTGGGCTTCAAATGGCAATTAACTTCTGCCCAAACCGACTGGTTTCCTTAGATGATTTTTGTCCATATAAGATTGGGGTTGACATTGTTCAGCCTTGTTTTGTCCAACCAAATGAGGAATTCCAGAAGCCTATCTTGGATCTTGTAGGGAATTTGGCGCATACTTCAAAAATTATGGATCATCCTAAAGGCAGAATCATGTTAGCAGGCAATGGGGCTGAAATGAAGGATTTACTTTCAACTGTTGTAGAGTTTTACATGTCAAAGAGCTCAACTAAGTATAGGAAACAATCAAATCTGGTGCCACACTTTCCTAGGTATGGACCTATGGATACAATTTAAAATCACCAGTTTTTAGAGGGTCAAATTTCTTGGCTATTATGTGCATGCAGAGACTTACAAAGTTACAATCTCGGACTATTGAAAATTGCAACTACTTCATCATGTTTATAATCTATTTTGAAAATTATGATGGATATTATATTCACTGAAACCATTATTGTTGACCCATCAACTCTTTATTCTGTCTTCTAAATCAGTTTGTCCCCTCCTGCCTGCATTGGATGGGGCTACCTGGCCCCAGAGGAGATTGATTGGATATCTTTTTCTGCCTAATCCATGGATTTTTCATCTTCAATTTGGTTTTATCTTTTTATCCTACCCTTTAGTTGGTTTTTTGGTTCATTTTCTTGGCTGTACTCAATGAAACTAGGTTTATTATTTTGGTTGTTCTTGACCAATGAATGCTGGGCCAGGGGGGG